TCTAAATTGTAAAATTGTCCATAAGTTTGAACCCAAAAGTTTTAAAGATAGAAATGGTAAACATAAAAAAAACTGGTTTATTCCAAATTCTTGCTAAGCAAATGCAAATAAACATGTTCAAGTAATTTGATAACTTTAATACATGTATCAATACAGCTTGACTTTTATTATAAGCATGAATCTTGTAGAAAAGTTGTTATTAGCAAAATTCCACTTACATTTTCTGCTTGGCACACATTTATGAAAACCTTCTCACCATTTTCTTTCTTTGTTTTCAAACAGAAACCTGGAATACAATGTAAATTGGTACAATTAACCCATTTAAATTTCACATTACAATTGAAATGTTCACTTAATAATTCATAAGAATATTTATAAATCCATACCTGGTGTGGGAACTACTGTTGTCCAAGAAACTTTTTTATCTGGATCAGTGCCAATGCCATCTTGCAGTCCCTGTCGAAAAAAATTACAACTGATAGGTGCTTCCTATAGGTGCTTACACAAACCATAATTTGAAATATATTTTAAGATTAAATTTTAAACTAAATTTAACATGCATCTTATATGCTTTATAAAGCAAAGTGATTTTCATTCCCAATAGCTTTAAAAAATGTAACAATTAGTACATTAATAATGAAGCAAAGTTGTCTGTCCCCAGCAGTTTGTTAAAGCATGTTTTATTGTAAATAAAATCTAATAAGATACCGATTGCAGAATAAGCTTTTTCATTAAAGCTTCAGTTTCATCTGTGTCTGGTTCCAGCATATTTAACAGTGCCTACATGAAGTCTTTGAACATATCTAGTCATGTAATGCAGATTTATTAGTAGTATTTGATCTAAAATAAAGTGGGAATGTTTTAATTTCACATATTTAAAATGAGACAATTCAAATATAATCATGGCAGTAAGTACAACTGTATAAACATGGCCAGTAACTTTATTTGAAATTGACATTTTACTGAGCATAAAAATCAAAATTTATGTTCCACATTACCTATGATTATGAATCCTTTTTTTTTTTACTGTACAAATATTCGTAAAATTTTACTTAGATTTTACTAAAGAGTCTCTTATGAATATTCCTTATTGCTTTTAAAGAATGCATTTTACATATGTGTTAAAAAAAACTTTTATATATCACTTATTTCCATTATCATACAGAAAAAATATTCCAAACACATGTAATACTCATTAAATGAGTCATTGGAGACAGTCACAACTGGTTTAGGACAATGGAAGCTGCCATCTTGAAAAAAAGTCTAAAAGTTAAAGCGACGCCGTGGCGCAAAAACGGAAAAACTGAAGACGACAACTTTGTGTTCAGTTTTTCAAAACATTGGCTTAGTGATCCGTGTAACACTTAACAATTCAAATTTTTAAAATGATTTAGAGTTTTAGAATGTTAATATATTAGTTCAAATTTCTAAATTTCAGAAACTCAAACTGATTTGGTATATTGAAATTTAATATTTTAGTACATTTTAGAAATTTGAATTGTTTAGTGTTACAAGGACCAAATATCCAAAATATCAAATTTCCAAACCCTATTTGAATTTTGAAACTATGTCTGTAACAATTCAATATTCTGAATATCTATTTCCTTTTTTGTTTTATCACAAGCACTTTTGGCATTCATTTAAAATTCAAACCTGGTTTGGAATTTGATACTTTGGATATTTGAAGTAAAATTCTAAAAACTCAAAGTGTTTTGGTTATTTGAAATTTGCATGTTTGAATCAAAATACCAAATTTCAAAAGATCCAAAACGTTTTGAAAGTTGAGATTTAGAAGTTTGAAGTAAATTTTAAATAAGAAAAAAATTGAACTAATTTTAACATTCAAAAACTCTAAATCAATTAAGAAATTTAAATTGTTAAGTGTTACACGGACCCTTAGTCCCAACACATTTTTTATTGTTAAGAAAAAAATAATTTGCCCCCCCCCCCTCCCAATTTACCAAAAAACCGAGGAATATATAGGCCTAATGTTGGAACATTTGGAAGCATTCAAAATGTTGCACAATCCCTATGACATGTCAAACGTTTGCAATATTCGATTTTTTCTATTTGCATTGCATGTAAAGTTTTCCATTTGTATTCTAAAATTTTTGTATTGTATAGTTCTCTATTTGCTTTGTATAATTTTTATTTGTTTTATGTGTGTTTTATCATGTTTAATATCTTACAATGTATATTGTAAAACTTTCCAGTTATCATGTTTATATTCTGTTTATTTTATTTGTATTAGTTTCCATTTGTATCATTTTCATCTGTAAATTATTTATACATGTATATAATTTTTATTTTTACGTGTTCAATAATTTTACATTTGAATTGTATACTTATTTGTTTTCATAAATAGAAAAAATAAAATATTCCAACCTTTGACATGCATTCTCAATAGCCTGATTTTGAAATGCTAAATTTGTGCCTGATCTATCATTCAACTTCGTTTGACTTATGTGAGGGACTTCTAGATATAATTTTGCTCCAGACACTGTAATGTTTCCGAGAATTCCAACTCAAATAAAGGGGACGGACTTCAATTTCAGTGTGTGACACACGGGGGTACAAATTTTAGTGGAGGCCGGAGGAATTTTTATTTTGAAAATAGGTCAAACTCCTAGGTCAAGGTAAAGGTCAAACTTGTTGGTATCCCAGAAAAGATCTTTTCGCAAGAAATACATATGTGAAGTATGAAAACCTTATAACATACCGGTAAAAAGTTTTGGCTAAGGTTAAAACTCCTAAAAAGTAGATCAATCTGTCAAGATCAAAGGGTCAAAGTTGTTGAAATCCAATGAAAGGTCTTTTCGCACAAAATACATTCGAGAAGTATGAACGTCCGGTAGCACCAACCATTTAAAAGTTTAACCAAAGTAAAAGTGTGGTATTTTTGAAAAGTAGGTCAAACTCCACGGTCAAGGTTAATAAATCAAATTTGGTGATATGCAAAGAAAGGTCTTGTCACAAGTGCCTGTGGTCGAGATGCAAGGAAGATATATACTTCTACTGTTTTTCATTGTACCAGCTACTTTTAAGGTTTTAGATGCTGCAATGTCAGCAAAGGAATGACAAGATTAATGTTTTTGGAGCAGGTTAAAAAGGTTTTTGTGGCAGGTATCATTTCCAAGTAACTATAAGGCCCATGTTGTCCAAACTTAATTGTACAGTAATACCTCTACGTATGCACACTACTTGATGGATGTTGGATATGACATATATATTTTCCAGATGAGTGATCAGGTTTAAGATTTCGGAGCAGGTTTATTCTAAAGTAACTGTTGGCCAAACCTTGACCAAATCTTTATGGTGACATATCTTAGTATGAACACTACTTGACTTGCTTTGGATTTGCTGGCTTTGACCTTCATTTTTCAGATGAGTGACCAGGTTAAAACTGTCGTAGCAGGTTCATTTTAAAGTAAAAATTAAGGCCTATTTGAACCAAACTTACAAGGCTAATGCATCAAGGGATGAACACTCTAACTTGTTTCAGAAACTGGATTTGAATTACCTTTTCTTTATGAGTGACTACCAGGTAGTTTGACATTTTGGGATAGTTTCTGCAAGCTCTACTGGATCAAAATTGCATAAATTTTGCTTTTCAGGATGTAAACTTCTAGAATGTTAAGTAGAAAATTATTGGACTTTGCCTTACTTAAAGATAACATTTGTAATGGTTCGCTTTGTAGTCTCCCGATTACCTATAATGTTTCTGAAACCATAAATGTAGAATTTGATGCGTGTTTGAGTGTATGTGAGGGAAAGTGTTTGGATACAAGTCCTGTTTACATAAAAAAGATTTGGAGCTCTAAATCTGTCTTGTATCTGGACAAGTGAAACACGTGACAGAGAGAAAATTTTAATTTAATCAAATTTAATTAATTCCTTTAACTATCATTAGTTAGTCATTCCAGTTTTAATGAACGTTTTTGACAAATTTAATACAATGTAAAAATACAGAAAATGAATATAGAAAAGATAAATAACTTCATATATACTCTATAAGTGTAAATGTACATCACAATTTAGATGATTTTAATGATGACAACAAACTCGAACAATCTTTACTTTTTCACAAGCTCTCCATCAAATATTGCAGATTTTCTAAAAGTCTATACACACACTCATTTTTTCTTGCCTTGTACTGACAATTACCAATAAATCACTGAATTTCGTGCATGGACTTTAATTTTCATACCCTTAACAAAATCTTAAAAGAATTAGGTTTGGGCTTCATTATGCCATAAAAATTTCATGTTCTTAAAAAGTTAATGAAATTGATTTTAATACGAGTTGAGAAGATGAATATGATAAATCATTCAATAATAAGGAGGACAATTCTGAAAATATAAAATCATTAATATTAATTTGGTGCATTTCTAAGTTTTCAGAAAAGCTTCAAAATGACTTATTTATGTGCTTCTTTTCCTTTAGAAAAAAGTGTCTGTCACCGTCGCCCGCTTCAATTTTTTATATACTAGTATTGCGTAAAATGTTTTGAAAATTTATTTGTGTTCGATGCATGCACTGTTTGTTTTCTGAAAGAAAATTCCGCAAAAATCGATGTTTTCTGTAACTTTAAAAAAAGAAAATGCCTGAAAATACACACGTTCTGACATCATGATTAGCATTTAGGAGATTATTTTGGAAAAATAAACGATTTGTATATTTTTACTGCGTGGAATTTCAATAACTCAAAAACGATAGAATTTTTGAAAGTCTCTTTCATCAAATTTCAATTTTAGAAAAAATACAGGGCAATATTTGTATTGAAACCATGCCTTGGTCTTTGAAATATGTAGCAAAAGTTTCAAAAAGCAACAGAAACAAATACTTTTGTTTTGCAATTTTATAATGCAATTTGCCTACTCCTTTCCTGACAATATGTGTATTTTACATGATACTTTTTGGTCTTTATCTGTGTTTTTTTCATGTCCTTGTGAATGTCTTTTGCGTTTGCTTTTTTATAGTGTCTTGATGTATTTCTATCACTATTCTTTTCTTTTTCTTTCTCCATTCTGCTCTGGGAGTGATTGAGTAATTATGTATAGTTTGGATACAACTTGAGATATGGTAGGTCGAACCTCAGGATTTCTATGTACACATGCTCTGATTAAATCGACTATATCACCTTCAGTTTCTTTTAACTTCTCAACAAATAAATTATCTTCAATAGGTTTCCTATTATACAATTCCCATAGCAACAGCCCAAATGAAAAGATATCAGAGGATTTCGTGGGTAAAAAGACTGCAGAGGGATCTCGAAGTTCTGGAGCCAAATATGTCAGAGACTCGTGGGGGAAATTTGTCCGGAGAGAACCAACATGGTTTGAATGTCCCATTTCAAATATCACAACATGGTTGTTTTCATCAACCTAAAGCAGATATAAATGTAGTTATTAATATGAATAACTGAAGGATTAAAAAGGCTCAGGTTGGGCTGTTTTTTGGCATTCGGTCGGGAGAGGGAATACAAAATAATTAAAATGTTCAACATACCAAAAAACTCGAAAGTTTCACAGCTCCATGTATAACTTCATTATTGTGCAGAAATCGAAGGCCTCGGGCGGCTTCTAATGCATATTGCAATTTCGTTTTTTCGTCTATCAGATTTGACTCATCCAAAACTATTTCCAGACTACATTTGTACTTTTTTATTACAAATTGTAGCGTATTTTCTTCCTTGCACACCGCAGACCCATCGTAATGCACAAAGTACGGATAATCTTCATCTTCTTTCTTCATTGATAAGTGCCTACAATATAACAAGTGTCTCTTAAGATCATAAACAGGTTCAAGTTTCTACACATATTTGAAACATGAGTATTTAATCTATTTATATTTGTTAAACAAATACGCACATGTAGAAAAAATGAGATACATGGGGTTCTTTCACAATATCGGCTTAAGACATTGTTTCTGACTTTAGTTAAAGGCCATTTTTGTATCATGGTAAAATATTGAAAAAAAAAAAATAACAGTATAGTTTAACCAAACCTGTATCAAAACTAGTGTCAAATCTGATAAAGATAGAATGAATACTTAAGGTTCATTGATACTCTGATAAGAGAGATAACTCTTAATGACATAAATGTCTATTATTTCTTTATAGATTTCCAAAGTTGAAGTCGAATTTTGCCCCGCAAGCTATGCTATAATTGTTTGTATTTTACTTATAAAAAACATTTCTTTTGGAAAATCATTAAGGTTCAAGCAAAATCTTATATGAGTGAGCAGAGGGTTTATGAACCTTAATGTTAAATACATGAAAGTTGAAATTAAAGTTATCGTTATAAAAAGAATAACATTATCTTGAAAAAAAAGCTCTCACTTTAATAGGTATATTTCTCGAAATATTGAGGAATCACACGGTAAGGCAACTTCCTCGCTTGATGAATTTACTAAGAATTTTATTTCAATTTTCTTAACAGCCATTTCTTTTCCACTGTTGTTTCCGGATCTAATTGTTGCAGCAAATACGTTTTCTAGTAGTTTTTCTCCTAGTTGAATATCAGATGGAAGGAAGTCATTTTTCATGATTGAATCAAAATATAAATTCCAAAGTTTTTTTGTGATTTCGTTAAATTGTTCAAATACTTTCGTGCAATTTGATGGTACAATCGATGATCTAACGCTTCTTTTCTTGTTTTGGCTTATCATATTCATAAGATCATCTTTCTGTCGTCCTAATTCATGTACGATCTCGTTTAACTTGGCATTGATATTGTCGTCCATTCTTTTTACAACCTTACTGATGAGGGTTTTCTTTGAAATACTGTCATTCTCCACTATTGATTTTACATATTCAAAGACAGCAAAAGCAGCAACACCTAATCCAACAGGCCAAAGAAATAAAACCGTCAGGGGAAAAATAAGCTTTTCACTTATGTTCAAGGAGCTTCCGGAACTGTTGTCTGTTGGATGAAATTTTCCGTATAAATGTTCTTGCTCAATTTTTCTCATCATCCGTTTTAGCAAATATTTTATTTCCATCTCCCATTTCTTGAGGCACTTTTTGATATTAGATCCAACGCTTTTATACAATTGTTTGACATCCCCAGAGGTAAGTTCGTCCTTTTCAGTGTTCTTGTTTATACATTCTTCCAATTTCTTTTCGTATTTCTCTTTAATGCAATTTATTTCCCTTATTGTATCGGAATCTTTTGATCCTAGATGATCTTGTAGATAAGAATGCACAATAACAAGTGATTTACGGATGCTATCATCAATGCTATCGTGGTCATCCTTAGATGTCCATTTCTTTCCAAATTTGATATATGCAGTTGTGCTTTCTAACAAGCATATTAACCACCTTTCAAAAAAAGGAACACATTATTTAGTTTTTCCAAACAAAAATGTGCTAAAAATGCAGATTATTTACCCATTTCGTTTCCGTGGAATGCAGTTTAATTCTTCTTTTTCTAAATTTGACCGTATAGTATGTTAACATAACTAAATACCGAATTAATTTAAAATTTGACAAATTGTTTGATTAACATTTTACACTGTTTTCCGTAAAATGCATTAAAAATAATTTTTAATTAAGTTACCACGAATGTCTACGTACATGCAGTGTTCCTCCAAAAGAAGACGTTCAGCGTTTAACAAGAAATCTTTGACCCTATTTTGAAGTTTTACCACACAAGAAGAGTTGATTTTCATCTAAAAATTAATTTTTTTTTTTACTATATAATAGGTTATAACAGAGCTTCCACTTTCACTCACATCTGTAAAAGGGCTAATTATTTTATAATCAAACAGATAAAAACACTTTATAAAGCGCTAAATATAATATAAAATTACTCTTACGCTAAATACAAGTATAGATAGAGGCCTATAGGCATAAAACAAAAATTAACGAACACTAGGACCAAAAATACATGTCAAAGCCATGTTATAAGCTAATTTAAATCTAAAATTTAGAAAGAAAAATCAAAACTAAACAATAATAATGCTTTTGATCTGCAGAATGTTCATGGTAGATTTTGGTCTTTAATTCTGTTACATGTAGACACATCATAAATGACATATCCCACTGTATACTAAAAAACAACGTTTTTAAAGCGTGCATAAAATCGAATTTCCGTGACATTCTAGTGTATATGAAGCAGAAAGGTTTACAAAAAACTGAAAATTAACACTGCACACTGAAAAAAATTGTTACGAGTATAGTTCGAATTTCCTCGACAATACATTATATAGAAAAAATACAGTATCCTTGACCCAAGCGCCTATGAGACACATTACACAAAAGTAATACAAAATTAAAATTTCTGAAATCAAGAAGAAACCAACCTCTCTTATATCCTCGCTGAACATAATTTGATTTTCCACAACCATTGGCCAGCATGTTTGAATTTTGTGGAGTATTGTGTGAGTAAGTTTCAATTTCTCTTCTTTATCTTCCAGAATATATTTAGGGCAGCTAGTACAAAGAAATAAAGCTGATTCTGGGTCCAGAGTTGTGCGTTCCTGGGCAATTGCTTTGGATATATCTGACATCAATTTTTGTAACTACCGTCAATAGAAATAAGTAAAATAAATGAGATTTTATTAACTTTGAAAACAAGTTTGAAAAGAATACTGTAATATAGAGTTACTTTCTTTCTATTGGTATTATAATTAAGCATTGTGTTTTTGTAATTGTTTTTTCTGAGCTACGTGCTTTATTGTGTGAATTATTATTGCATGATGCATCTACAACTACAAACTTGTGTCTTTTTTTTGTCCCATCTTTTTTGCCAACTTTTTAAAGGGGATGCTCACTCCTCCATGGCACCCAATCCCACCTCTAATGTTTCGGAGGTCCGTGTTTGCTCTTCTCTTGTTTTGTATTGTTTTATGGACTTAGATATTGAATACTGTTCGTTATATCGTCATATCCTTCATTTATTTAATCTTAATTATCTTACAAGTAACAGCTTTTCAAAAAGCTTGCCTGACTAATGTCACCAATATCCAAAGAACCTATAAGCTTCATAAGTTATGTTTACATTGGGGGGGGGGGGTGTGTAAATTATTTCACTAAATTATAAAGATGTTGCACAAGGCATCATTCATTCATTTATGTTGTATGCTATTCATCAGAGCAATAGAAAAAAGGACATTTAAAAAAAAACAAAAAACATATATATTGTTTGCATCTCAAATAAAAAATGGAATGTACATGTTCCGTTGTGGATTCGAACCCGCGACATAAAGATGAACACCTCACTCTGGAAGTCTAATATGGTTTTAGAGGATGAAGTAAATGAGGGAAATAAACTAATGTAATTGATTTATACTGGAAAGCCGTGGCTATGTAAAGATTACATAAATTAGATTCAACTGCACACAGCATACAATATCACGGAAAAGAAAAACAAGCTACTTTATACTACAATGATCAGACGGATAATAGCAAACAGTACATGTAATCATATTATTAATTGATAGAATTAAAAAAAGTATATATTTTGTTGGCCTGGTAGCATAAGGTACCAAGGGACGATGCCTATTGAGCAGTCTGGATAAAACGAAACTTAAAAAAAAAAAAATCCAGCTTGCTCGGTCTTGTACCCCAAGCAACTAAGACAGCTTGCAGGAGGAAAACTTAATTTGTTGGCCCGACTACTTGGGGCACCAAGGGACGGTGCCTATTCAACAGTATGACAATACAGACTGTCAGTCTTGACTCCAGGTAGCCAAGACAGCCTGGGGTATAAAGGATCCTGGTAAATAACTTGTAATGAAATGTAATGCAAAAAGATACAATTCTTCAGAAATCAGATTCCATTGTTCTGAATCATTTTACAAATTTTGAGTAAGAATTTCAACATTTTCATTGGTCATTAACCATATTAGTATTTGGTCATTGTCCATCTTATCAAAATTCTTACAATATTTTTCTATTATCTTGGCACCTCCCTAACCCTGGTGGTCATGATTTGTACAAACTTGAATCTACACCTCTTGAGAATATTTCCATATTAATCATGCTCTTGGTGTTCCTGAAAAGAAGAACTTTAAAGATGTGTTTCCTTTTATTCCTAAATAAAACTTTGATCCCTAATTGTGGCCTGACCCTAGCCTGAGGTGATGATTTGAAAAAATAGAAATATGTCTATAGGACATGAATGTCCCGCCAGATGTGTATTACTAATGGTACATTAAACAAGAGGCCCATGGGCCACATCACTCACCTGAGTACTGAAGCTAAGAAAAAGTAGAAATTGGTTTATTATTGAAAAGTTAAAATCCAAAAGTAATCCCATGATCAATCATGGATTTGCTTTTCTTCAAAGAATTTTCCCATATATTTCTATGTAAAACTTTGGTCGGCCATTTTGGCCCCGCCCTACCCCCTGGGGTCATGATTTGTACAAATTTGAATCTACACTACCTGAAGATGCTTCCATATAAATATGATGAATTATGAATTTGTCATTCTTGAGAAAAAGATTTTTAAAGAATTTTCCCATAAATTTCTATGTAAAACTTTGGTCGGCCTTTTTGGCCCCGCCCTACCCCCAGGGTCATGATTTGAACAAACTTGAATCTTCACTACCTGAGGATGCTTCCATATAAATTTGATGAATTATGGCTTTGTTATTCTTGAGAAGAAGATTTTTAAAGAATTTTCCTATATATTTCTATGTAAAACTTTGGTCAGCCATTTTGGCCCTGCCCTACCCCCGGGGGTCATGATTTGAACAAACTTAAATCTACACTATCTGAGGATGTTACTCCATAAGTTTCATCTTTCCTGGCACAGTGGTTCTTGAGACGAAGATTTTTAAAGAATTTTCCAATATTTTTCTATATAAAACTTTGGTCGGCCATTTTGGCCCTGCCCTACCCCCCGGGGGTCATGATTTGAACACATTTGAATATTCACTACCTGAGGATGTTAACCCATAAGTTTCATCTTTCCAGGCACAGTGGTTCTTGAGAAGAAGATTTTTAAAACATGCCACCAAATTTTCATTAATTCCCAATTATCACCCCTTGAATGAGGGCATGGCCCTTCATTTGAAAAAACTTGAATCCCCTTCACCCAAGGATGCTTTGTGGCAAGTTTGGTTGAAATGGCCCAGTGGTTCTTGAGAAGAAGTCGAAAATGTGAAAAGTTTACAGACAGCTAGACAGACAGACGGATGCCGGACAAAATATGATCAGAAAAGCTCACTTGAGCCTTCGGCTCAGATGAGCTAAAAACTAAAAACTAAAATTTGTATTTGTGTATAAAGTTTGATGAAAATATCTTAAACAGTTTTTTTTCAGAATTGAAACTAAAATATAAATAAATTGGATATAGATAATAAATTCTCATCAAATTATGTATAAGTGCATGTTAAACATAAAAATGTCTTAAATTATTTCTTAAAACTAAGCAAAATACATATTAAAGAGGAGGGAGGTCAAGGTCACAGGAATGTGCAAGATGAAGTTTTTGATGCAGCTGAATAGCTCTCACTAATACATATTAGCTTATTATGTTTGATAAAAATATCTTGAATGATTTAATGAAACTGAGCTTAACACTTTGTTTTAAGAAAAGAGAAGTCAAAGGAAAGGTTGTGGTCAAAATGTTGTTCTAGCTAAAAAGCTTACATCAGTGTGAATTTACTATTATCATATGAATTTTGATAAAAATATAATTAATGGTTTATTTGAAACTTAGATAAACACATATTTTAAAAAGTGAGGTCAAGGTCAAAAGAAAATTCAAGGTCAAAATAAGTTAATGCAATAATAGCTCTCATCAGTATGTATTAGCATATGAAGTTTGATTAATATATCTTGAACTGTTTATTCAAAACTGATCTAGTCTAAGACAGTGAGGTCAAGATCACAGGAAATGTCAAGGTAAAAAAGAGTGAAGCATTGTAAAGCTTTAATTGCTTACATCAGTATGTATCATCATGTGAAGTTTCATTACACAACTTGAATCATTATGGTTTCTCTAAAATAAAGCTAAACACTAATTTTAAGAAAAGTTAAGTAAAGGTCAAAGGAAAGTAAAGGTAAACAAGATGTGTTTGTGAAACACTATGTGCCCGGCGGAAACAAAGTTCAAAAAATCTATTTTTAGCATATTGGTCACAGTCAAGGTCACAAGGTCACTGACCGTGGTGTCATATGAAAGAACTTAATCAGTGGAGTATGCATCCCAAATATGAAGTCCCTATCTACTATGGTTTAAGTTATGGCCAAAAGTGTAAAAAGCTATTTTTAGCATATAGGTCACAGTCAAGGTCATTGACCATGGTGTCATTTGAAAGAATTTAATCAGTGGAGTATGCATCCTAAATATGAAGTTCCTATCTCCTATGGTTAAAAAGTTATGGCAAAAAGTGTAAAAAGCTATTTTTAGCATCTAGGTCAAGGTCAAGGTCACAAGGTC